TGCACGTGGCGAGTCGCTAAAAACGCCGGCTTGCGCACCAACCATTCAGCCGCGTTAGGAGCACGGCAGCGCGAACCCGAGGAGGGACCTCATGCTGAAGACGGCCCAAGACCGAGCAGAAACGGGAAACGCGGACCCGCGGGAAAAGTTAAATTCTCCATCTTTCCAAGCGCAGGCGCAAGAAACGATGGTCAACGCCATCTGGAGCGGCCCGTAGGATCTCGTAGCAAGTTCGCTGCCACCTTCCCCGCACCTCCTGCTCCTCAGGGGGGGGCCCGCAGCTCCTCGATCTATGTGCTGTCGGACGCGCCGCGCGCCCCAGCCCTGCCTCGAGAAATGCTCAGCCGCGCCTTGGAGGTGCCTGGCCATAGCTGCATTGTGCCAACCCGACCAATGTGCAATCGCGACAATGTCGTCCGATTCCGCGAAGGCCTTGTCCAGATCGCGCACCTTGTCTTTGACCCTCAGGCCCCCCTCGCCGCGCGCCTCGAACAGCTGAGCGCGGTGCCGGGCCGCCAACGAGAGCGCCGCGAAGTCTGTAAACCCTCCATTGAAGCCCAATGTCTTGATGCTCATCAGGATGGACGGGGTGACCCATGCACGTGGGCCTGGAAAAAGCAGCGCGCAAGCCTTCCTGGTCTGCTCGTACCAAACCTCACGGGCAGAGAGGAGCTGCGACACGAAGCTGAGCACATGAGTGATGTAGGAGTGGATGGCAAGCAAAGTAAGCTGGAAGCCGCACCCAATTCTGCTCAACGCGGCAGCCCGGTCGAGGAATTTGCGGAATGGATTACCCCATGCGTTGGAGCCAGCGACCAGCCCGAGATAAAAGCCAAGATGCTCCCCGGAATCCTGAACAGCGACACCAGCCGAGCCAGGGGCTGCCCGACAAAGCATCTCTCGAACTGCCTGGGGTGCGGACCGCCAGAGGGGCATGACCACCGTCTTCCCAATGTTCAGGCTGAGATTCGAGAGTCTACGGTACTCGTCGAAGATCTCGGCTAGCGCAGGGAGGTCTGTAGGCAGGCTCGCGAACACGAGGGCGAGGTCGCCGGCGCACGCCCGGGGCAGCGCCGACGGGGTCAGACGCCGAAGACGCCGGAGCAGGAGATCGGCCACACTGGCGAACAGCAAGGGCGAGAGAGGGCACCCCTGCAGCACCCCCGCTGTAACCTCGAAGCCGCTGAACCGCTGCCCGGAGAGGACCCCCTCGCACGCATTCTTGTAGTAGACGGCCCGGGCGAGTTTCAGGAGGTGCGGAGGGGCCCCCAGCCAACTCAACTTGTCCACTGAAGCCCTGGCCCACCGAGGGGAGCGCCGCCGGGAAATCGAAGAAAATGCAGGGCGCGGAGGGGTGCTTCAGGGCATGGGTCCGCATGACGGCGTCTATGTCCACTACGTTCGCCAAGAGAGATCTGCCTCCAATGAACCCCCGCTGGACCTTGGAGACCCAGCGTCGGAACACGCGCTCCATCCGAAGCTTGGCCGCGCTCGCGAGGATACGACTGTAAAAACCACCGCGCTGATCGGCCGCGTCTGCGCTGTTTCGTAAAACGCACCCACCTCCTCATCGTGCCCCGATTCCTTTTTGGGTATCAGGAAAAGGAGGGACATGTTAAAAATTTGCAGATACTCGCCCAGAGCGGCCATGCCAGCACTGGTGCCGAGGACATCCAGCGCGTCGACGAAGACGTCAAGTGCGAGTCCACCAAGATAACGGTAAGCAGCCGCGGGAATGCCGTCTGGGCCAGGGGAGGAGTTGCTGGACTGATCGATGGCCGTTTGCACGTCAGACCTCCGCATCTTCCACTCTGGCGAGGCCGCGCCAGGAAGCGATCGGAGCGCGTCGGTCGTCAGATCCCCCTGGAAACGCTGCTGCCGCAGGTCTCGATCTGTGGGGGGCGCTCGGGAGACCTTCTCCCAGTGCCGTTTGAAGTCGGTGCCCATCTCCTGCGGGTCGGCGTGCAAATTGCCATGCTCATCGCGGAAAGCCTGGATCGCTTTGCCCTGGCCCGGAGAAAGGCGCGTGAGACGCCGCATGTTTTCCCGCCTCGCTCGGTCCTGCTCCGCGTCACTCATGGCATCCTTGTTCGCGTGCAGGCTCGTCAACTCGGCCGCTGCGCGCTCCCGCGCCAGGTCGACTGCGCGCGCCGTTGCCTGCTCCAAGTTGCGGCCGTCCTTGAGGTTGGGGTCGTAAGGGGTTGGTGGCCAGGCGGCAGAGATGGGGGCATCTTGCGATGGCCCGAGAAATAGCCCCCGCGGCGCCTTGCTCCAACGCGCGGATACATGACATCGTGCATCCCAACACGTCCTCCATATCGTTCGCGTAACTCACCGTCCTCACGTGCTCCTGCGAATTGGACGTCTCCCGAATCGCGCGGAGGAGGAGCGCCAGGCGGTGGATCCCATTCCTGCCATGCTGCTCTTCACAGAGCGTTTGAACTCGCCTCGCAACATCCACGGCCAAGCCTGGGCGTCGGACCGCCTCAACGGGGACGGGCCTGACCCCCCCGAGGGGTCTGGCGGGCGTGCGACGGCTGAAGAACACGTACCTGTGGTTGGAGTGCAAGAAATCCCAGTCGCCAGTGCCAGCCACGACATGCCGGTCTAAGAGGTCGGCGCGCTCCATCCGGACATAGACGCGATCGAGCCTGGAGCGGGCGGCGGCGGACCTGTGGGCGAACTGGGGCTGGTGCATTTCAGCGAAAGCCCTCATGAGATGGACCCAGCGGTGCTCCTCGGCGCGGCCCTGGCCAGTGGGGATCATGGAGGTCTTGTCCATCCGGTCTCGCTCATTCGCAACCCAATTGAAGCCCCCTGCGACAATGGCCATGGCTGCGTGCAGAGGTCGACTGCAGCGCGCCACCTTCTCTCGGAGCTGCCGCCGCTGCCTGGCGAGCGAGATAGGGCGGGTCTTCGCCCGCCGGCAGGCCGTGCAGATCGGCCTCCAGGTCGCGTCGGGGGCCCGTGGGAAAGTGCACGGCGGTGAAACCGATCGGACCTCCATGGCCAGCGAGTCGCAGCGTCGCCGCGCGCCCAGCCTGAACCACGACCCATGAGCGGCTCGGGAAGCGCTGGGCGAAGGCCTCTTTGACCACGACCCCGACTCCTCCATGGTGGGATGTGCCGGGCGACCACCAGGCGAACGCACCTCGCGGGGCCTCCAGTAAAGGGATGGATTCCTCGGCGCCGTGGGTCTCCGAGATGGCGACCAAATCGCGGCTCTCCAGGAGGTTCTGAAGGTGCTTCCAATTCCCATGGCGCCTGAAGGGGCCCACGGCAAGGAGGGCCTGGGCATTCCAGGTGCAGACTGAGACGTCGCCACGATAAGGGTGCCGGGCAGCAGGGCCTCGACGAAGCAGGGCTGCCGGGGTGGCGGGCCGCGGAGGTGCATCGATGCGCTGAGTGGGCAGGATGCCGAGTGCACGTCGGGCGCGAGCCTGGCGAATCAGCGTCAGCGGTGCGTCGCAGAGAAGGTCGTCAACCCCGTCGGAGTTGGGGAGAGAGCGACTCGAAAGGGGAAAGGGGGGAAGATGATCATCGGCAGCGGCGTATGAAATCACCCCGTTCTGGCCGAAGGCATTGAGCGTCGTGAGCTGCTGGGGGCCGAGGAGGAACAAGGCGACGTCCAGGATGAGGAACATGCTACCTGGGCCGGAAATGGCCCAGGATGGGGCAGCTTCCACGGCTAGTCAGCTGGCCAGCCGACTCGGCAGCCTATCCACAAGGTCATTGCTGACTTGGATTCGAAACGTGTCAAGTCCGATCCGGATATTCTTCCCACGCAGCGTCTCCCGAACCTGGGAGACCTCCGAGTTGTTCGCGAGATACAGCCTCGCCCGTCCACGCGCCATCCGTGGGTCCAAAGCTGAAGGCCAAGTCCACGTGCCCGCCTGCGTCTCACTGCCGACCCCAGCCTCGGACAGCGCGAGACCTGTGTGGGTAGCTAAGTGCCTCATGAGCTCCCGGAGGACGTGGGACGTGCTGCTCGTCCGCCCTGAGGTGCCCCTTGATTCCCACGTCCGCGATGGAGGTGATTGCCTCTGGCGGCCCCTTTTTCGCCGCGGCGCGGCGGGCAGCGGCGAGCTTCGCGGGAAGCGCGGCGGGGACAGCGAAGCTGCGGCCTCCACGAGAGGCCGCAGCGGGAGCTCTTGGCGGCCGCGTCGGGGTCCTTCTGCAGGAGCTCGTCGAGGGCCGTCTTCCACGTAGCGGAAGAAGCGCCCGTGGTGACGAGTACCTTGTCGCTGGAGAGGAACACCGCCCCCGAGCAGAGGAGCCACAAGTCATCCATGGCGTTCGGGTGGAAAACCTCCAGGATGACCGCGCCGCCGTCCGCATAGAGCTTGCAAGCCGAAAGTCGTCCTTCTGGGGAACATCCCCTGGGCGCTTCGCATGTGCAGCTCCTGGTCCAGCCGGGGCAGGCCCGCCCGAAACCGGACCTCCAATCGGCCCCTCGGCGACTCCTTGGAAAGCCCTGGACTGCGGCACGCCCGGCCGACCTGGGCCACACCGTGCATCTCCGCCTGCAGGATCCGGATGTTCTCGAGGGACATCTCCGAAAGGAAGTCCACGAAGTACGTCGGGAGTGCTTCGAACGTGGCCAAGGGCGCCTCGGGGGAGACGATCTTGGGATGCCGCCGCACCATGCCGGCTGATATTGTAAATACCGCCAGTCCTCGGAGTTCACGGCGCGGGCCCGACGTTCCCGGGGTGATGTGCTCGAGCGGGTATGGGTGGATCTCGATGTTCTTGATCAGCGGCGCCCACTGCTCTCCGAGGAGGTCGTGCCACCAGAGGTCGCGGATAGCCTCCAAGGAGTCGCAATCTGGGAAAAATCCATGGGGAAGACAAGCCGGACATAGTCGGCTGCCCCAAGATCCAGTGATCGACGCAGGAAGGTCGAGTGGAGTCTGCCCAACGCGGAAGGGTCCGTCGGGGTCCAAAGAGTGAAGCGTCTTCACTGCATCAAGTCCCAAAATGATCCGTCCCCCTTTTCCGACGTCTCTGCCTCTGATCGCGCGCTCTTCACCGAGGCAACATACCCCTGCGGCAGGCGTGGCGAAGATGTTGGACCACTGCGTGAGGAGGATGTCTGACTGGTGAGGGGCGGTCCTGCGGAGGAGGTCGAGCGCCTGCGTGCCAAGCTCCATCCATAACGGCAATTTCGATGCGCGCAGCTTCTTCCGCTCGGCCTTCCAGGAGTCCATCGAGAGGACGCATTGGTCGGCCACCTGGGTGATCCCCGCGACATCGTTCCTGGCCTCCTGCGTGTCCGTGGTGCTCCAAGTAGCGGTGTCGATGGTGGACCCGATGAGCTTGGCAAACCGGACACGGGACTCCAAGGTGCCGAGCTCCAGGTCTGGGCCCTCCATCGGCGAAAGCCCAGCTTATGCCAGTCACAAGACGAATTGGGGCAGTACCCCATTGTTTGAAGTACCGCCTGAAAATCGCTCCGCGTCTTCATCTCCGATGGCACGACGGGAAAGTTGCCGAGGGCCGCTCTCGCGTTGATAATCTCCAAGTGCGGCATGACCTGATGCTCGATGAGCTCTGTGAATACGGTGCGCGCTGCTGGGGAGGCCGCAAGTGGAGCAGCTCGATGGACTGCGTCCCCCGCGTCGCCAGCATCGTCGACGTCGATGTCGGAGTCCCCGATGCTAAGGCCAGCGGTGGACTGCGTCAAGCTGGCGTTGCTGGCAGCTGGGTCGGCGACTCCGGCCAAGCCCGGCGGGACCGCCGCGGCCATCGCCGCGTGCGCCGCGCAGACCTGTTCGCCCGGCATGGCGGGGCCGTCTACGCCGCTGGCGGCGCAGATCCGGCAGCGCATCGCCATCGGAGGGTAGGGATGCGGAGATGGGCAAAAGGAAGGCAATTGGATATTTGTAGGAGTGTGCGATAAGACGAGCGCGCTCCAGCCAGGCCTGAGCCAGGTACTTGAGCCATCACGATGTCCCCCTCCTCTATCCTACCCTCCGCCCTCACCGTCTCTCAGCCTCCTCCTCCCCCTCCTCCTCCTACTCATCCTCCAGCTCCTCCTCCTCCTCCTCCTCCTCCTCCTCAATGTATATCCTCCTCCTCCTCCTCCTCTTCTTCCTCCTCCTCCTCTTCCTTCTCCTCCGTTTCCCAATCCATCTTCCTGGCTCCTCCCTCCCTCCTGCTCCCACTGCCTCCCCCTGCTCCCTTCCCAGACATCCGAAGTTGATCGTGAACCCCACAGATGCCGACCCCCTCGAGGGGCAACTGTGTTAGCCCGTGGGTTTTATTGGTAGGCCTGGGGGCCCGACAACGGCCACTGGAGGCCGACATGGAGGAAGATCGCAGTCACAGTCGCAGAAGCCTTGCGCCAGACGGCGCGCAAACAGGGTGAAGCAAGGCGACTGTGTCTGCAAGGGGCCCTTCGGCACCCCATCCAACAAAAAAGATCGGCAACACAAGTTTCGTCAAACGTGTGCCCAAGATGTTTTAACCTCCACGGCTACATGCCCGGGACCATCGGGCAGAACAAGACTCAGTGTGACACCACGTACTCGCGGACTCGCAAGACCGCGAACGCAGGAGCCAGAGCCATGGGCCACAGCGAGAAACGAAACACTGGAACAAAATGAGACGACGGCCGCTCGCGGACTCGGTTCCTGCACAGCTCCTAGGCGTGCTACAAGCAGGATGGAGGAAAAGGGGGGACACGATGAGTCAATCGCGCCACGATCTGAAAACCGCAACAACAAATCAGTCAAACGCCTCGGCCTTTCTCATCCACCCTCCTCCTCCTCCTCCTCCTCCTCCTCCTCCTCCTTCCCTTCTCCTGCCCACGCCTCCTCCACCCTCCTCCTCCAACCTCCTCCTCCATCCTCCTCCTCCGCCCCCCTCCTCCCCCCGTCTCCTCCCCCCATCCCCCCCCCCCCCTCCGACCTCCCTCCTCCTCCTCCTCCCTCCTCCTGCTCCTCCTCTACCCTCCTCCTCCCCCAATCTCCTCACCCCTCCTCTCCCTCCTCCCCCTTCTCTCCCTCGTATTTCCGCCCCCTCCGTTCCCTACGGAAAGGGAGCTTGGAGGGTCTTTACACTGGTCCCCCTCCTCCTCCTTCTCCTCCTCCTGCACCTCCTCCTCTTCCTCCTCCTCCTCCTCCTCCTCCTCCTCCTCCTCCTCCGACCTCGGTCCGGTCCTCCTCTCCAATCCGAACCTCCTGCCGCCCCCCGAGGCCGCCCGCCTGCGGCGTTCACCAGCGCCTCTGCGTGCCTCACCAGATGCACGAGCCTGCACGCGGGGCCGAGCTCGATGGCCTTGCCCGGGGGGGCAGCGAGGGGGCGATGAACGAGGAGGAGGAGGAGGAGGAGGAGGAGGAGGAGGAGGAGGAACGAAGAGGAGGAGGAGGAGGAGGAGGAGGAGGAGGAGGAGGAGGAGGAGGACCCTCGCGACATCCTCTCGACGCAAAGGGAAATCTCACGGCGGCACGTGTGCTACCATGTTCGAACTGCTGGGTGGAGTTACCAGTGGGACTGGCCGGCTGCGGAGGGGAAGGGGGCGGGGCGAGGAACGAGGAGGAGGAGGAGGAGGAGGAGGAGGAGGAGGAGGAGGAGGAGCAGGAGGACCCCCCACCTGACACCCTCCCGCCGTACAAAAGGTGTTCTTCCGGAAGAAGAACTAAGGGAACTGTGGGGACACCCGCTGAGCCACGCATGGGACCATCAGACAACGGTTCAGGACGAAACGCCCGTCCCCGGGAAGGGGTCCAGGCCTCTGGAGGGCAACAGTGGATCCGAGGGGAAGGAGGCGGAGGAGGAGGAGGAGGAGGAGGTGGAGGAGGAGAGGAAGAAGGAGGAGGAGCAGGATGAGGAGGAGGAGGGGGAAGAGGAGGAGGAGGAGGAGGAGGAGCAGGAGCAGGAACAGGAAAAGGAGGAGGAGGAGTTGGAGGAAAAGGAGGAACAGGAGGAGGAAGAGGAGAATGACAACGACGACGACTGGACGGAGGAGGAAGAGGTAGGAAGGGAGGGAGGGAGGGAGGGAGGAGGAGGAGGAAGAGGAAGAGGAGGCGGCGGAGGAGGAGGCGGTGGAGGAGAAGGACGCGGAGGCGGATGCGGATGCTGAGGAAGAGGGAGAGGCGGAAGAGGAGGAGGAGGAGGGACACTCCCATGGAAGAGACGAGAAGAGGGCAGGCGGCCAAGAAACAGACGAGAAGATGGAACACATTCATCCAAACGTCACCTGAGGATGGCGCCTAGAGCCGGCGATATCCTGGCCGTCTGCCTTAGACGGGCTCGTGCGAGGCGTCCGAACACGACAGGTCCCACCCTGTCGAGCGCTTTACGCGTCTGGTAAACCGAAAGCATGACATCGTACAAGCAGGCTGTACACACGAGCTCCTCAGCAGAAAACGGGCCGATACCAAAGAGCCCGATGAGACCGACAGCCGAGGCAGAGGCGATCGAGGGGGGAAGGCGGTGGAAGCGAGCCCAGATTAAGTCGAAGCACGGGCAGACGTGATAATGAAGAATCCCATCTCCAGTTACGGCAAACCGTCACCAGCGACACCGTTTCGTGGGCTCCCGAAAACGGCGGGTGGTGCACCAACTATTCGTAATCCCCTGTAGGACGGCAGCCAGGAGGGAGCTCAGAACAGACTTGCTCAACCAGACCACGTGCGAGACCGTTAATTCGAGCAGGGCATCCGAAAGCACAAGATGAAGATACTGAAGACGCTGGGCCAGTTCACAACGAGCTGAAATATTGCACTAGTTCTGCAAATGCTTGTCTACGCGCTTCTGGAGACGAGACGTATCAACAAGGAGGCTGGGGAAGGGCGTTCAGGGCTCGGAAATTTCGATGCATCTGGGCCACGGCGTGTTGCGCCACCATCTCCCCCAATCATGAGTGAGTAGCGCTTCGTCGGAGGCCCCGACCGTGCTGAGGAGATGGTCCATCCCGAAGAAAGCTTTCGTATAGAAAGCGCACCTGCACTGAGCGACCTCGCCTGAACAGGGGGACCCAACGCCTTGGCAAACTTCAACAGAGAACAAGAGAGAGCATTGCGGGGAGCGATGACCAATGACCGCAGGGCTTCTCTCTCGAGGCGGGAAGCTTCTGCAGTGGGCGAGCAGTATTGAGCAACGTGGCCCATCACACTGAAACAAAAAGTGTTATATCTCGCGAGTGTGCGAGCCCCAGGATAAGAAGCTTGAGGACCTGAGCACGCTCCAGACAATTCCCAGAGACATCACGCCAAGCGGCTTCCCTCCCGCCAAGTCCCGAGACAATCCCAAGATAGTTGATACACTCAACCAGAAGAACACGCGAGCAAACAATACCCAACATACTCAGCTCCTGGAAGAGCGGGTAGGGGCACTCAAAAGACACACCACGGTTGTGTCCAGATGTTTTATCAGCAGCCCAGCCCAGATTTAGCACCAGCCCAGCCGCACGCGCGGCCACGTTTCAGGCGGGCAAGATCGACGCCAACGCCTAGTACAAATTATGAGCGCCCATGCCGACGTCGTCGGCGAAGACCGTGAGAACCGTTACATGCTGAGGGAGCCGCGAGAGAAACAACCGAAGGATGAAGTCGAACGCCAACACGTATACACTACCTGATGTGGGGCATCCCTGCTAGATTCCCCTGGAGAGCCAGAAACCATCCTTCCTGGGCCCCGCGAAAATGATTGTGACTCAGATGGTCCGGTACATATTCTGAATAGCTCCCAAGAAGAAGTCTGGAATACCCATGGCCTGGAACACGAACCATGTAAATTTGTGCAGGAGGCTCGTGAAGGCTGCTCGCACGTCGAAGCAGCAAAAACCCGCACGGCACGAGCCGAGCTGGGCAAACAAGGAGAGCACCCGCGCCTCGAGCTCAACTATTATGTTGGACATCGAACGACGTCGGACGAACGCCCTTTGGGCATTGACGACGGTCATCTGGGTGAGCCGAGCGAGCGGGTCGTTCATGGCGAGACTGACGATCTTGTTATCGGCGTTCGATCAAGATATCGGTCGACTGGCCGACGGCGCCCTGAACACTCCTGTAGCACTATCCTTGGCCGAAGAGCCCTTCGCGAGGAACACGCACATGGCAAAGTTAAACGTGTCGCCAGGGTAACCACCTGCTAAACTACCTCCGTAGATGGCTAACATAATCTCTAACACCCTGTCTCCAGCACGGGCCCAGGCCGAATACGGGATACCATCGGGACCAGGGGCACTGTCTCGACACTTCCTGACCATATCAGGATGAAGAAAAGGAGGAGGAGGAGGAGCAGCAGGAGCAGGAGGAGGAGGAGGAGGAAGAAAAGGAGAGGAGGAGGGAGATATCTACTCCGCGAAGACCTTCACCTCAAAAACGTATGGGGCGGCATTAAGGGCTACCATTCCACGCCAGATGCCTCAGGCATCTGGCTCTGGTCGGGACTCCTGGACGTAGGAACCGACCTGAGCAGATACCCCTTGGAGTTTTGGGTGCATTCCCGAGAAAATCAGCTTCCAGGAGAATCGAGCCTCCGCACTGGTCGGGAAACCGTTGCACTCCCGAGCCAAATTACGCACCATGCCGTGACCCGGATAAGCTTTGCCTTTGCGACGCAGGCAGACGACCAGGGCGTCTCCACCAGAGCACTCAAGAGCAACAGCTTGGTGATGGGGCCCAGACAGGACCTGGGGATCGAGCCTGGGAAGCCCCCGACAGTGGCCTGGCACAGGCCGATCAACGGAACGCGAGACTCTGCAGCAAGCCTCGCACCACCATAGTCTCGAGAACCAACTCCAGCGATGAGAGACGAGGTCGGGCCGAGGGGGCGCCTGCGGCCTAACAAGTTGGGCACCATCCAGCGCGAGCGGCGGCCAGAGGGGCAGCAGCGTAGCCGCCAGCACCCCCACAGCTCGAGCGACAGCAATCTTGATATCAGTGGCCTCCGCCAGACTCGAATCTGGCTGAGGATAAGACATGGCCGCGACCTTGGCCGAAGCATCGACCCAATTGTTGTCCAACTGGCGGAACTTACTTATCATCATCGCCGGTGGCTTCCGACATTGGCAGGTGAGTTTTCACCTTGACAACTTTAAAAAGAGGCAAGTTCTTACGAATGATCTGCGAACAAACTTGTGATTGGTCTTCTGGTTATCACAAACATTCACGCAGTCCGAAAAAGATTGTAGACTCTCCTGAACGGCGTCTGGCTGCAACCGCAAAAGCATGGTACTCGGCACTCGAGGAGGAGGAAGAGGAGGAGGAGGAAGAGGAGGAGCAGGAGGGACAAGGAGGGAAGCAACTGGTTCAGGCCGGGCGTTTTCGCCTGGACTCGGGCCCCGGGGCCCTCGCGAATCGGTACGGCTTGAGAGATGCCGCAGAAAGATAGGGTGCAGGGCTCCAGTCGTCTGGCGTCATCCTGCCTCTTTCTCTCAGCCCTTTCTACTGCCCGGCTCCATGCTCACGTCTCCCTCATCCTGATTATGGCTATCCTCCTCCTCCTCGTCGTAGTACTAGTCATCACCAACACGGTCACCATTGCCACCACATCATCATCATCATCAGCAGCAGCAGCAGCATCATCGTCATCATGCCCATCATCATCAGCAGCATCAGCATCAGCATCATCATGCCCATCATCATCAGCAGCAGCAGCATCATCAGTATCGTCATGATTATTTGCTATCTCAATATCATCATCATCAGCAGCAGCAGTAACATCATCATAATCATCATGACCACCATCGTCATCAACACTACGCACCACCACCCTTGTCATCACCATCACCATTAACGATCACCACCACCATGACCATCACCATCACCATCGCGATCATCATGTACACTCCTCCTCCCACCCCCCACACATGCATTTCCTCACCCGTCCTTCCCACCCTGCTCCTCCTCCTGCTCCTGTTCCTCCTCCTCATCCTTCCTCCTCTTCCTCCTCCTCCTCCCCCTCCACATACTCTTCCTCCGGTTCCTTCTCCTCCTCCTCCTCCTGCTCCTGCTCCTCTTCCTAATCATTCCTCCTCTTCCTCCTCCTCCTCCTCCTCCTCCTCATTATCATACTCTTCCTCCAGTGGGACCGGGCTTACCACGCGGCTGCATCCCCACCTCTTCCCCTGGCCAGCGCCAGCCTTGGCGCCGGCCACCAGCGTGAAGGGCTCCCCCACATCCTGGCCGCGTGGCCATCCCTCTCACATGCGTGCTTCTCGCCCCTCCTCCACCCCCTCCAACTCCTCCTCCTCCTCCTCCTCCTCCTCCTTCTCCCCCTGTCTGGCCTCGTCTTCCTCGCCCTCTTTCTCCTTCTCCTTCTCCTTCTCCTTCTCCTTCTCCTCCTCCTCCTCCTCCCCCTCCTCCTCCTCCTCCTCTTCCTCCTCCTCCTCCTCCTCCTCCTTTACCACCTCTTCCGTCATCTCAGACATCTCCTCTCCCTCATCGCCCACGCCCATCCCTCGCTCCTCTCCCACACACTCCTCCTGCCACGCCCCACCCATGTTCTCCTCAATCGCCATCAGATGCCGCATCACGAGGGGGCGAGGGGGGGCAGAGAGCGAAATGCAGCTCTGGGGGAGCTTGTACTTATGAGACATCCAGCACGCCCGCAACGCCGGGCCCCTGGAAACGTTCCCCCCCGCACATCCAGCCGCACCCTGAACCGAGCGCCCGCCGGTCCCAGCTCTTCCCGCCCCTCCCCTTCCCCTCCCCCTTGCGCAGCGGGCCTACTCGGCGCTGGGCAAACTAGGAGGAGGGGGGAAGAAGGAGGAGGAGGAGGAGGAGGATCGAGGAGGAGGACGAGGACGAGGACGAGGAGGAGGAGGAGGTTGAGGGGGACAGTGAGAAAGAGGAGAAGGAGGAGAAAAAGGAGGAGAGGGCCGAGGAAGAGGGGGAGGAGGAGGAGGGACACTGAACTGGCCTCCCCTGTCCCGGCAGCCCAACAGGCCTGCCGGGGCCAGGAGACGCCCCACGGACGTGTTTTAGGTTGCGGCGGTGGGGCGGTCGCACCGCTGTCGAGGCGGCAGCCTGGCCACGGAGGCGCGGATGGTCACACGGAGGGGTACGGGCGAGGGCCGAGGGAGGGAAGAGGCGGCCGCGAGAGGGAGAAGGAAGGATGGCACACCAAGAACATGCTGCACTTCTCGGCGGCGAGCGCGGGGGGGGGAAGTGAGAAGGAGAAGGCTTCCCCAGAACGCAGCGGGGCTTCTCAGAAGCCCTCACGCCTTCTCAGAAGTTGTCTGCATCTCCGGGGGAGGCTCAGGGAACTTCTCAGAAGACTGGGGGACTTCCGAGCCTTCTGAGAAGGCCCGCCCCTTCTCACTCCCCCCCCCAGGGCTCGCCGCCGAGAGAGGGAAGGATGGCACACCAAGCGCCTGCAGCTCTTCAGCTCTAGTGCCACAGCCTCAAGCCCACCGCTCCGCAAAGTCCCACGGAACGATCCTGCATGGCAGAAGGGAGCGGAGGTGGCCAGCATGCCACCAGACTCGGGGCTCCCAGACACTCGACGTGACATTTTCGCACCGATGCTACCCACAGGACTCTCATCTTCTTCGGCCTCGTCCTCGTCTTCCTGCTCCTCTTCGAACGCCTCTCCCCTACGCTTGTGAGGGAGGAGAGGGGCAACTGATTCGGGAGGGGCGGGCGGGACAGGTGAAATTATTCGCTGCGTGGAGCTCCCCATATGTGCAGCTATTAGCATGGCCCTGTCCGCCGTGAGCGTCTGGGCGCAAGAGCTTTCGAATATCATCGGGCTTGAGTATTCACGGTCTGGGAGCGAATATAAATGTGAATGAGTTTGAGTGTGAATGAGTCTCAATATTCTAAGTGCGTCTCTGCGCATGCGCCTGGGGTCTTCTGGGACCTCTTCAAACCTAGGGTTTCCTGGAGCCTCTTGGGGCCTCCTGGGGCCTCTTGGGGCTTCCTGTCGCCTCCTGATACCTCCTGGGGCCTCGTGTGGCCTCCTGGGGCCTCCAGGAGCCTCCTGAAGCCTCCTGGGGAGGATTCTTGCCCCACGAGAGGCCCAATCTACAGGAACAGTCGTAAAACACTTTGGGTTGGAGCCAAAAGAGAGGGGCAAGCAATAAGAACACACTTAAAACACCAAGGACTCGTGCCCCGGGGAGGCCCAAACGATAGGAACACGTGTAAAACACTCAGGAGTGGATACGCAGGAGAAGGACAGACTATATAAACATACGTGCGAACCAAAGATTCGTGCTCCAAGGGAGGCCCAATCTAAAAGAGCATACTTAAAGCACCGGGGATCGGAACCACTCCTGTGGCCATATGCGGCCTCCTGGAGCCTCCCGTGGCATCCTGAAGAGGAGCCGTGCCCACGACTCTGGCCAACAAAAATGAGCAAGCCGCACGAAGCATCCTCTCAATATGTGCCACACGGGGTGCCAGAACCAGCGCCTCGCTAGGGAACCACATGCGAACCCTACCCCTACGATTTCTGAGGGGGGTAGGGGTAGGGGTAGGGTTCGCATGTGGCCCCCTACTCGCTCGACACATCCTCCAAATCTGCTGCAAAAGCGGAGGATGTTGAGGGCACGAACACGCAAACCGCTCGAGACGGCCCCGCCATTGTTGCGCGAACGGAGGAGTGCGATACCCCCTGGCGGCTCCCTTTTGGAGGTGCTGAAACCCGCGCCTCGCTCGAGGCATCCTCTGAACTTGCTCCGCCATCATCATCATCATCATCATCATCATCATCATCATCATCATCATCATCATCATCATCATCACCACCATCATCATCATCATCATCGTCATCATCGTCAACATCAGCATCATCATCACCAGCACCACCGACACCACCACCACCAGCACCATCATCATCATCAACAACAACATCATCAGCACCAGCAACATCATCATCAGCAGCATCAACAATAATCATCAGTATCATCAGCAGGGCCAACCTCATCATCATCTTCGCCACCACCACCATCATCATGATCATCAGCATCATCATCATCATCACCATCAGCATCATCAGCATCGTCATCATCCGCATCATCAGCATCAGCATCACACATACCGTACCAGACCATACCATACCACAACATACCACCACATACTATGTCACAGCATGCCAGAACAGAACGTACCATACCATAGCACATCGTAACATACCTTACCATAGCGTAATAAAACATAAGAGAACGTACCATAACATAAGATGAGAAGGAAAAGGAGGAGCGAGGGGTGAATGAGTCGGCGCGGTCGGTAAGAACAAGAACACCATATTCTTTGGACATGGGGAACAAAAACCCCATCCTTTGGACATGGTCAAAAAGAACCCTATCTTTTGGAGATGGGGAGTAATGACACCAGAAGAGGCCACCAATTTGCGGATGTCAGCATTCCACGCCCACCCTCTCTCTCTCTCTCTCTTTCTTTATGCGTTCTCTCTCTCTCTCTCTCTTTCGCTCTTCCTCCCTCGCTTACCCGCTCGCTCTCTCACCTTCTCCCTTTGTGTTATTATCTCTCTCTGAGCGTACGTACGCATATATATATATATGTGTGTATAGTGACCTCAGCATACACGCATGTCTCTCTCTCTCTCTCTCCCTCTCTCTCTTTCGCTGATTATCTCTCTCTCTCTCGGTCTCTTTCTCTCCCCCCTTGTTCTCTCCCCCTCACGTTTTGTTTCGGTCTCTCTCTCCCTCTCTCTTGTGACATATTTCATGGTCGCTCTGTCTGTTTCTCTCTCTCTCTCTCGTCTTTGTTCGGTGTGAGCAAGCTCTCTCTCTCTCTCTTTCTACCTCTGTCTCCCGGCCTCTCTACATATATCCGTAAGCCACCGTGCATCTTCGATGTCCTCCCATATAGCTCTGAATGCTGGACTCTCTACTGGAGAGCACGCTCTTTTTCTTTCTCTCTCTCTCTCTGCCTCGCCCCTCCCCTCTCTACCTCTCTACTCAGCTTTGCTCAATAACTCTCAACACGTACTATACTCTCGTCTCATGCCTCGTATGTGTTGTTTCTCTATTTGTTTTTTTTTTTCTCTCTCTCTCTCTCTCTCTCAAGAGCGTTGATGCTCTTTCTCAAGACTCCTGATCGGCGTATGGGCAGGTCAGAAAGCACCTGCTTCTGCCCACATTCCACGCAGCCTCCGGGCGACGGCAGTGGGACTGATGGGCGCGGCGTGGGGAGGGGGGGGGGGGGGGGAAGGGAAAATGGCACCCCGGATACGGCCGGCGAGCACCGCGCGCCACGAGCACACTGCTACACAGGCTCGTGTCCGTCGAGGCGCAGCTGGGCGTGAGCGGACAGGGGCAGTGTGCGTTGGTGCTGCTCGCCTCGGGGCCACAGCCACGGCAGCCAGGCTGCGGCGAGAGACCCAACGCGAGCGCTGGGCTGCGCGTCCCCGCGCCCATCCCACCACCGCCTCCGGACGAGCAGGGCCAGTGACGTTGCGCCACTCGATGGCTGCACATCGGACGGGGGAGAAGGACGGTGGATGGGCGGGAAAGACGAAACGAGGCTGGGCAGAGTGGACCAGGAGGAAGAGGGGGGCACATAAAAAGAGCAAGAACCACAGATATGCAGTGTCTTGTTGCTTCAATGCGGGATCACCAAAAGTCGAAGGCCACTCTGGATCAAGCTGGCCACCCTACGGCCTGCGGATGATTCTCGCTGGGTCGCGATGATGTCACTCGCCGCAGCGCCCCCCCGATGACGGCGGCCATGTGCCTGGCCCCGTGCGCGGGCCGCCCTATGTGATGTGAGGCCCCTCGGCGTTCGCGGGCCCGTGGCCCGAGCGCGCGCCGCCGCTGGCGCCGCGGGCAGCTGGCTGCAGGTCGTGAGGCGCGGATGCGAGCGAGTGCACACATCCTTCAGCTCCTCCGCCTTCATCAGGTATCTCATGAAGTACTTCTGCTTCTTCGATTTGCTGTTCTGCCCAAGGCTGAGCTTGATTGCGTGGCCCCCGTGGCCCCGAGCACTGCACCATCGACACTGGTTGAAGCAGGTTGCACTGCATCTGCGAATCTGGGTGAGTGTTTTCTATCGCCGAGGTCATCTGGCACGATGTCGGAGGTATACCACACTCCTTCTCGGAGCATGTTGAGATCCTCTTTGAACATCTGGCTGCCCATCGCCTACGTAGACCGGATCATCCGCGTTTCTCGCGCCCATCCGGAGTTGTTCCGGCTTGCGGCTTTCAGCGTGGCGCTGATGAGCGCCTACGAGGAGTCTGGGGTCGCGGACGTCGTGTCCACTCTGCCTTGCATGGACACGCTCCCCGTCGAGAAGACGACCTTGCGCAAAATCGAGTGGGACACCGACGAGATCGAACCCCCGAAAGCATCTAGGACAGTCTGCGCACGCCCGTGGTCCTTCGCCCGCGAGATGAAGATCACAGTGAGCGCATGGAACGGCTTTGTATGTACATGACCTCGCTGTTCATTCAATAATTCGCTGAGGGGCTCAGGGGGGATATCCACATCCTTCCATGGCTTTTCCTTGATGTAAGATGTAAGCAGATACCGATACGGCTTCCCTCTCATCGACTAGACACGTGTTGCTCATCTAGGCTGTCTTGGGATTTGCCTGTGCCTGGCCAGGAGTCGCCAGAACGAGGGGGCAACTTGCTTTCGAGTTTCGAAGCCCCGTTCTCAGCTTTCATCGGGGGGACTGCGTACTACCCGATTGTGGGATCACGCTCTGTGGCGTGACAGTGCGGCGCTCGTGTGATTCGGAGTGAAGTGTTCATGAAGCGGTCCTTAACGCTGCCTGATGGGAGAAAAAACACCAGAAGTCCCGACCCCTGTCCCCAGGGCCGGTGTTTGACAGGCCCAGGGCCTTGCGAGGGCTCTGGGGCCTATCAAACAGCGACCCTGGGGACCGTAATACGGTCGCGAACTTTTGCTTAGCGTGTCGCGGCGGCGGCCCAGCGACACGCTATGCCCGGCGAGAGGGTAGCGTATCGCTCCGCTCCGCGGAGCGGGAGGCCTCGAAAGGCTCGGGAGGTTGACGCTCGGGAATGGCCGTGGGAACTGGCGAAGCGACACGCTGAGCCAAAGTTCCTGACCGTAGTCATCGCCCCCCTCTCGGCCGCCCCCGGCCGTCCGCCCAGGCGCGCGGAGCGCGCCAGGGCCCGCGCTGGAGGGGCTGGATACACCGCCAGGGAAGCCCAGCGCCGATCCGAGAAATCCGCGCGGAGCTCCGAAAGTTTGTGCATTTCTTCTTCTCCTCCTTCTTCTTCTTCTTCGATACGGTGGGGGCATGGGATAAACAGCCCTTCGATAAAGAATCCAGGATCTGGAGGCCGGTGGAACTCCAATCGAGGCTTGGACATGGATATCACCACCGCCCTCATCAGATAAGAAATCCTCCAGGGTCTGCAGCATCCTGGGCGTGTTGCTTAGCCAACGCCCCCACCGTAAGTATCGCTCCTCGACCTCTCGACCACCACTTCCCCAGGACCCGTGCTTCATTCCGAGCCGCTTTTGAACAGCGGACCCGAGATCCGGCGAACTCGAGCCTCACCTCTCGACCCGGGCTTTCCGCTCCGCCGACGCTCGGCCGCCCCCGACCGCCCGCCGCGGCCGCAGTCGGCCGGCCGCCTCTTCGCGTGGCCGCCGCACGACGACGACGTCAGCGACGCCGTCGGCGACGCCGGCGACGACGTCGTCGGCCGCGAGCACGACGAGCGTCGGGCCTCGCCGCCCCGCCCCGCCGCGCGTGCGGCGGGCGCGCGAACAGCGGTGGCCAGCCGACCGCAGCCGCGGCAGGGAGGACGCGGCGAGGCGCGACGATCGCCGCGATCGTCGCCGACGACGTCGTCGCCGTGGGCGCGCAGGTTTGAAGAATTTGTTTGGGGGGGCGAAAATCGAGTGGGAAGAAGGGAGCCTTTTTCTGACCCTAACGGCCCCGTTCGGGGCCCTAGAGGGTCCCCTCAGGAGCCCTGAAGGGCTCCTGCCTGCAGCCCCCGCTGCACCCCCATATATCGACCCCCCATTTATCGCCCCCCTCCGTCGCACCCAGACATGCAACGTCCGGAAAAGATCGGGGCGGAAGTGCTTCTCAATTTTCGGCCTCCGGGGGCCCCTACCAGGCCCAAGGGCTGTCGCAAAACGACTCGGAATGAGAAACCGGTCCCGGGGAAAGGGTCGGGACGTACGGGGACTGCGCATGGACAAACATCAGGACATCGCATGTCTGGGCCGTGATTGTCGCCGACGACGTTGTCGTCTTCGTCGACATCCTGCTCCTCCAACGTCTCCTCCTCCTCCTCCTACTCCTACTCCTCCTCCTCCTCCTGCTCCTCCTCCCCCTGCTGCTCCTCCTCTTCATGCTCGTGCTCCTCGTACCCCTCCCCCTGCTCCTCCTCCTGCTCTTGCTCCTGCCCCTGCTCCTCCTCGTCGACGTCCTCCTCCCTCCCCCCTGCTGCTCCTCCTCCTGCTCCCCGCGGCGCCGCCCGTGTCCTGGCCGCCGGGGTACTGGCTCAGGGCGCGGCGCGCGGCGGCGCCTGGGCGCCTGGCGCGCCCCGCACCGCTGCAGCCATCGCGCGACCAGAGAGATTCGGTTCGGTTCGCGTCGGTCGGGCCGCACGCGACGACGACAACGATCAACGACGAGCGTCGACGACGAGGACGGACGACGAGGACGGACGACGACGGACGACGACGACGACGACGACGACGACGACGACGACGACGACGACACCAGACGACGAAGACGACGACGACGACGACGACACCAGACGACGAAAACAACGACGACAGACGACGAACACGACGACGATCGACGATGAAGATGTCGACGACGAATCGCGAGGCAAGCGATGCGTGCTCACTCGTGCTGCAGCCGGGCATGCCCAATTTTGGCCTCCTCGGAGTCGGGAAAGGCCACGCGCACCAGTAGGTACAAGCGGCGAATCCGAATTCTGGCGCACTCGGATCGTACGTTTTCCCGGTACCACCCAGTCGGAAGAGGTAGGTGTGGAAGCACTGTTTGCCCCGCGACCAACAAGAGGAGAGGGAGGACTCCGCTTCCTCTCAGAGGGTGCTATAGCCCGAACGCACAGCGCGAACAGGACCGACAATAAATGGGTGGAAACATGCAGTAAGAAATAGGAAGGCACACCGAGTATATTGGACTCAGGCCGGCACAAAAAAATATCCATCACTGTACGCTCATATATGCTTTTGAAATATGGCGGCGCTTGAAGAAGGCTGGGATCTGAATATCCCAAAACGCCCACCACCAACGACGGGCGCTTACTTCTGTTCAGCTTCTCGGCCGTGCGCCCATGAAACGCGGCGAAATACTGGGAGGAGCGCCAGATGAGCGCAAGGGTTCTTCTGAACATGGCGGGCCTGGGCCACGAACAAGCTGCCCGACCCATCTCCGAGGAGCGGCCCGGCTACGGCAGGATCGCGTCGTGCCGACTTCGGAGTTGGTCCGTGACACCGCGGGGGTCGTTCAACCATGAAGATCGATCGGCCGCTGTTGGCGGCGCGCGCAGCGGGTGGGGGGAGGGGCTTACGGGTGGAGGCTGTATCTCCGCGCCCTAAAACATGCGATGTTGCATAAACTGCTCTCGTCTTGTGACCCCGTTTGGCTATGCTATACCCAGCTGGATGACAATGCGCGCAAACGCAAGCAAGGATCCGTCACTGGTGAACGAGAAGGCGCAGCCTACTTGTTGGTGAGCAGCGCGAGTTGGAAAATGGCACTGGCGCGAACAAAAATAACGTACTGATTAACGCAGTGGACAGTTCAAGCGAAAGCGATGGAGGCAGGCCGATTGCGCAGGCGGCGCGGCACCGCAGCAGCCACTCGTCTTTGACGCAAAACAACTTTGGCGCCAAAATGCAAGCGGCAGACGTCGACGCGCGGGTTCGCGCGCACTGCCAGGCGCAATGTTGGTGAGATCTCTGGTGGGCGCTGGATGGAAGCGCGCAGGGCGGCCTGGAGCAGCTCGAGATCCTGGCGTCGCTCAGTGAGGGGCGAACTCTTCTTGGTCCACCCCGCTGAAAAATTTGTCGACAATGCGCGTTGAACTTACTGCGCGTGCGTTGCGTTCAATTTGAATGAACGCTCTACGGGGCAATGAATTGAACTGCGTGAGCAATGCTTCATGTTCCGTGGTTCCATACATCACTTGAACGCTGGGATTTCGCGCAATGAATCTACCAAAATTCGAAAGGTATTCGTGCTGCGTGGGCGAGGTCGCAAATCGCAGTCCCCCGAGGACAATAGTCTCCTGCGCCACGACAAATACACAAACGCCACCCCAGAAAATCGTTCGCGGGCCGCAGAGGAGGGCGGCAGTGCACAGGTCACAGCACAAGAACAGCCGATGTGTTGCACCGCAGCCCGTTTGAAATGATCTGGGTCTGTCCTCTGCTACATTCCAACTAGGCACGTATTGCAATACGCTTGGCATGCTCCATCCGTAATGAAGGCACGCTGAATGCAATTTGGTTCCTCTGCATCTGGGCGCCTGCCTAATTCCTATTCGCATCCGGTAGGGGCCCTACTCGCATCCAGGCGGGCTCCTCTGGGTCCATGTATGTCCCATGTCTTTTGGAACCCGATGTTGCAATCCAACTGAAACCCTCTAGATCTAGCTTCTGCGAATTTCTTACTCGGGCCCGGGTGCAATCACATTGCGATTCTATGCAATTGGGATCTGCTCAACTCATAATGGTGTCCCACTGGGTCCCACGTGGATGCTGCAATTGGGCGGTCGTTCTCTTATGTAAGGCGGAATCGAGAAGATTGTGAAGCGACGCTAAGCGTGTTTTGCCAAATGCAAAACAGATGTGCAAATGCCAAAGCGATACGGGTTGGAGTAGGGGCGGGGGTGATGAAGCTGCAGGTCGCGATTATGGCGGCTGTCGCGGGACATGTGGCGATGACGATGGTTGCGGTTCCCCATCGCGCGGTGATGATTATGACGGTCGCCTCAGTAGTGGCCCACGTGGCAGCGACGAGCGCGACGATGATCTTGATGATGATCGTCACTGGTGAGGATGAGCACGGTGGCGTTGCGGATTGTGGTGGTGACGATGCGTGGTGGTCCAGGTGGGGGCGATGGGGGCGGCGTGGCGGCGGCGGTAGCGGCGGCGGCGATGATGCGAGTGGCAGCGGCACTGCAGGGTGGCAACCAAACCGTGATGTCGGTAGTGCTGGTCCAAGTGGTGGTGCTGACTGCACGGGATGCGGTGACGAGCGCGCTGATGTTGTGACGAGCTGATGTTGCGATTTGCGCTATATGATTCAGGACGGCGGTGGGGGGGGAAGGCAATGGCAACGTTGTGTTGGTCGCCCCATTTTGTCCAGATGACTCCTGTGATGCTCGCAGGGGCAATCGCGGCGATAGTGATGATGCCATGAGCGGTGCCGCCTGCGAGCGGATGATCACCCCCGCCCCACCGCCAAGATTGGCATGACTACAAGCCTGCTTCTTGAGTCCTGCTGTGGGACATCCGCCGTCCTCACCGGTGCGATACCTGCCACCTCCAGTGCCGCCATCTAGGTCGACCACCATGGCCATCACCAAACGAATCTTCGGGATGACACCATCACCGCCCCCCCTGGTGACCGCGACATCGACGACCACTGCATCCCTGATCAAGACCACTACGACCACCACTTGAACGTGCACCACCGTAGCAAAGCCATTCTATCTCAAGGTGCACCATCCAAGGCCTGTCCCACCATGCTGACTTACTGTGTCATGCCGCCATGCCCCACCTGGCGGGGTGGGTTTCCGCCACCGCCGTCGCAAGACGCCAACACCTGGGCCGTCAACAACACGCAATGTAGATCAATGTTGCGGTGATAGTACACAGTGGTACAAATCTCAGTGGTGATCGCGCCAGCCTCACCCCACCTCCCACCATTGCCAACCGCATCAGTAGTATCGCCACGAGGTCCACACCGCCACAAATATTGACAAGATCGTCATCGTTTGCACAGCAGGCGGCGCCTGGGACCTCACCGCCACCACCACTTGGCCAGCAACGACCACCACTACCATCATAATCACTATTACCTGGGCAGCCAGCAATGAAGCATCGCCTCATTCAGCATCACTAAAACCATCACCTGGACCACCGCAATGACAATCACCACCCACTATCAATATGCCCGTTATCGCCATGACCGTCGTGACTACCACGTGGGCCACCACCACCATCGCCATCATCTCACTTTGAACGTCGCACCCACCACCTGAACCACCAATGGCACGACACCCTCCGCCGAAACCAACACCGCCATCATCAACGGCGTGCTCATCGCAACTGCAAGCTGGGCTATAAACACCGCAACACCGCCAGCGTCATCACGATCACTGTCATATGTGCCACCACAGGATGTCGATGCATATGGTCCTAGTGGCGGTGGCCTGTGCCAAACGGATTCTGTGGCGGTGGCCATGGTCCACGAGGATGACCGCGGTGTTTCAGATGGCTGATAGCAAGGGCCAGCCCAACGCCAGGGCGCGAATATGCGAAAATACGTAGCACCCCGCAGTTGCGGGTAAGAGTGAGGGGGCGGTGAGGACGTCGTCAGTCTGCGAGGTTCTGAAGAAGCCCGCCGCGGGCGCCTAAATTTTGCAAATTATGCAATGAGCCCGCCGCAGGCGCCGATTTTTTCGTTAAAGCAATGTGGGTGGATCGTGGGCTGGGTCGCGGGTGGGTCGCGGGCCTGGTCGCGGGTGGGTCGCGGGGTGGATCGCGTATGGGTCGCGGGTGGGTCGCGGGTGGGTTGCTGGGTGGGTCGCGGGTGGGTCGCTGGTGGGTCGCGGGCTGGGTCGCGGGGTGGGTCGCGGGGCGGGTCGCGGGGTGGGTCGCCGGGTGGGTCGCGGGCGGGTCGCGGGGTGGGTCGCGGGGTGGGTCGCGGCTGGGCCGCGGGCGGGTCGCGGAGTCGCGGGTGGGTCGCGGGTGGGTCGCGGGGTGGGTCGCGAGGTTGGTCGCGGGGTGGGTCGCGGGTGAGGTCTCGGGTGGGTCGCGGGGGGGGTCGCGGGGGGGACGACGACAACAACAAGCAGAATCCGCACCACGGATTCCCTTTTCAGCCACGCACCCAGGGGCAATGCATGACCGTTCGGCCCCCTCGCCCCGACAAAGAAGATCTATACATAAAATATAGAAAATGAAGAACATCCGAAGAGAGATCCTTGCAATCTAGCTGCAAGACCTGAGCACAACACATGTTTCGGATGCTTGATATCCACCAAACCTGTGAGAGCAGCACAAAGTTTGGGCCCATCAACGTCACGACACACTATGTTTTCACCTGTCTCGTTGGTATGGCCAAAACCATTTTTTCTCCGATACTAATTGCCGCGGACTGATCTTCGGCGAAGGCGTCGCGTCAAAATGCCCTGCAAACGAAACTTTCATGTTGCCAATCTTATTTTTGGCGGAGGCACTGAATGTTTTACGCCCGAAGGCGAAAACCAAACAATCCTACTTTGGCATTGGCGTGGCCGGAAATTGCCCGGCAACGAAAATGCACAA